AGTGTATCAAGCATTAATATAATCTATAGTTAATCATGGTATTTATATATGTGGAGGCACATATGAAAAGACTACAAACCTATTAGAAAAAAAAATACAAAATATAAAATTTAAAACTTTTCTAATGAAAATCTCCAGAAATCACACAAAATATCTGTGATACGAAATTAATGTTCCAACAGTTGACTAAATACTCTGCAGAGTTCTGTGATTTTACTTTATTGATAAAAAATGTTTTCGTCAAACATGATCTCACTTTAAATATCGGACATTGATATAATAGCATACAGTTGTTGAATTATCTTACTTACAAGTACCAACCTTGAATGGAAAACTAACACAATATGTGTACTTATATAGATATAGTCGGTATACAAAGGTGTATAGTTCTATAATTATTCACAATAGCTCAATGCACAGCAAGTTCAATAACTATACATTAATGTTGTAAATCCAAAACAAACCGTAGAAAAGTATTAACCGATTATTCCGGCTTGTAAAAATATTTTCTGTTGCTCTATTAGCAAACAAGTAATCAGCATAACCATAAACGAGATTAAGGGAAGAACGGTTCACGCGCAGAATTAAGTACATAATTCCAGGGCTCATAATAAAATATATTATATATGTATTAGGTTTTTGATTACAACAGTGTCATTGTTATCTTAAACATTATACCGAAGCCTGCTCTTTTAGAACAATATAATGTAATTGGCTATCCGGGGCAGTGGCTCAAAGGGGGGGGGGTGGTTAAATGGTTTTCCAGTTATAAACAATTATGTATTGAGTTGGTATATAGGTAGGCACTGATTTTATACTCATCAATAATTTATATATTTTAGAAATTTAATGGGTAACTTTTGAAATTTCTAAAAATGATAATATTTTTAAACGGCATAATCTTATTTATATTCAATAAAAATTAATATTAGGAACAGACAGATATTTTAGTCTAAGCATTATATTACACGATAAACTTATCTAACATAGATTTATAACATTAACAACATGAAGCCACTAAAAAAAAACATTAAAGATAATATTAATTATCGACTGTAATATCTCTTCAATAGTTCATCTAATAAATTATAATAATATTATGTTGTCTCTGTTTTATAAACGTATAATTATATTATAGCAAATTGTGTTTCGGCAGATCAATTTTGTGTAGATGTATTTAATTGCATAATACATTGAATAGTACATTGTATTATTCTATTATCAAACTTAAAGGTTTAAACTTCAAACTAAAAACCATAATATTCTGTGTTTTTTATAATATTTAAATTTTATAATTTTAAAAATAATTATTGAAGAAAACTGACTACAGAAAACCGAAGTCCACACTCAAATAATATAAAAATAATAACCAGAAAAAACACATTGTTTTTCAATATTAAAAGTGGTTTTTTGGTAGTAAATTGGATTTAGTTTCTGCTTAAAAGAGCAAAGCTAATTTCCAGTTATATTTTACAAAATAATCAGAAAAAAAAATATTACTCAAAAGTGCAAGACCATAGTTTACAAAATCAGTTTTATAATTTAAAACGTAGTAACTTAAACTTTTGACTAAATAATATGTATATTATATTATAATATGATATGAAATAATATTATTTTCAAAATATATTGCCTAGTTCCAAACTATTTATTTGAAATTTTTTTTATTTTCTGTTGATACGTCTTGATAACATTATTTATTTTGAAGCCAAATACATTTGAAGACATCACAAGATATTTAAGAGTAGTTTTTGCTGACATTTTAAAATATCAAAAATACAAACGCACATTTTTTTGAATAGATATTATAAGTCGAACATACTGTGAAATCGAATATAGATACAAAAAATAACAATTTTTCTTTCAACAGTTTCAGACTTCAGTTATTTTGTTGTTATTAAAAAAATATTAATTGTAGAGACTTGACACTTTTTTCCATATATTATACTCGTATATTATTATTTTTTAACATGATATATTTTACAAAATATTCAGATTCATTTTTAGCTATTATTTTATATAGCTATTAGTTATTAATAAATTATACTATAGTACATTTTAACATACCTGATATAGCGCATTAGCGCTTCTTTTTTAGCATTCGATTTGTTGTATAGCCTTAAAGGCAAGAGATTACCCATATAGCCGTGTTGTTTTATAGTAAATCACAGCGCAAATGTTTTGGCTTTTTGCTAAACTTTCAATTTCCGCGAAATACATCTATTATCTACTTATATTAAACATTTAATAATGTGAAAAAAAAACACTCATAAAAACTTAATTTAAATATTGCAAATAAATAAATTAAAATCACTCGTATTGTTTATGTTTCTTATAATTGAATAGCAACTATAATTATTTTACTTGAGCGTTTATTTAATTTAATTCTTATAATATTATTAAGTAAACTGTACAGTTTTAAAATATTCGAAGAATTAAAACCTTTAATCAAAGAAAAAACTTTAAATAAATAGTTATATTACAGTATTACCACGATGTTTTAATAAATTACAAACTAAGCCTTAAGGCAATCAGTAAAAAAAAAATGGAATTAATCATTTTCCACAAGAATCAATAAAAATCAAATAAATAGTAAACACAAGCATAATATAGTCCGTACATGAATTGTGGTCCAAGTATAATAAATACTATAGTTAATATTACATATTATAATATTTTATATTTTGTAAAACTATTTTTATGGGCCATTATATAATTTATATACTTAAATCAAATATTGAATTAGGTAGTTACATTGACATTTAAAAAAAATTTCCCACTAAATAATTAATATTAAAAAAGTTAAATTTTCGTAAGAAAACAGAAAACTGTATCTATACTTACCTAGTATGAAAAATCTGAAGAATTAAAAAATATGATCTTAAATGCCATGGCAAACCTTATCAATTGTTTATCAAAACGACCTTTTTACTAACAAAACATAAGATAAATCTTATTATATTGTTCGATTAAAAAAATGTATAGGTTTTTGATTTTGTATAAAAAAGTTTAATTTTCATCGGTCGGATCATATTATATCCACTATTATTTAGTTTTTAATATATTTTATATGAAAAATTGGACAATTAATACAATTTAAAATGTCTATTCCCATCAAGAATTTGCTAAAATTTAAAAAGTAATTTGGGCCGATGCAAAGTAATTTTCATCAGAATTTTGGAGGTAATTAAATTTTTGTCAGGCGTATAGCTATTTCAGGTCCATGAATTAATTTTGAATATTTTTATAAAATTGATAAATTAAATTATGTGAATGGAGAGAGTAAACACACTAATGATGACTTACTACACACACAAGAACGAGCCATGATCGCGAGGAACTAAAGATTTACATAAACACAACTCCATAAAAATAACTCATTTGAAGGGGCCTAAAGATTTGACATTTTGAGTGTGAAATGAATTTTTAAAATTTGAATTTTAAAGAAGTGCTCACACAGTCAAATAAGCATTTTGAGATCCAAGATGGAATCGACATTTTTCTTTTGTTTATAAAGTATGGTAGCCATTGATTTCAGATTATAATAGTAGTAGTAGTAGAAATTAGTATTTTTTTTGTACATAAACGGTTGCCACTGGTTACATAAAATAAATTTTATTATTATAATTTTATGATTGAATACAATTTTAACCTGCATTTGATATTTGGTTGATTCATTTTTAACCTCGTGGATTAAAATCATAAATGTTTATTTCTGCTAACAATTGTTCCCCGTAAAAAAAGTTTTAATTTTAATTTTTTAACACAATTTCATTGAACATTAAATAGGTAACAAATTGAACGAAGTTTTAATCGTATAAAAGTTGGTATTTTTTACGGGAAACAAAGTGCTTGTATTATATAACGTATATATTGAAAATAAATGAACACGTATGAAATGTATTGCCACTTTCGTACTTTCACTTTTCGTATTATTTTATTTATATTATATGTATAATAAAAACAAAGTTCGATTTAAATATAAAGTCGTAGTTCTTTTAGGTAAGTCCACCTGACTTGTATTCACCTGAAAGTGTGCTAAAAGTTTTTTAAGAAAAGACAAAACAAAATAGGAATACATTATAATTACTAAAATTAGTATATATGATAATAATAAATAGACTACCATAGTTAAAGTTTAAATTTTAACTATTGAGGAAAGTACCTGCAAAATGAAAGTCCTTATTCGTCAGACAAAAAAATGCCACTAGAGAGAAAGTGAAATTAGTATTTCATTCTAGCGGTGTATTCCATTTTCGAGATGAAAATAATTGTTAAAAATAAAAAAAAGCACACAGACACAGACAGCTCCCAGATGACCATTATTGGATATATAGAAGTGAAAGTCAACATTTTTATGGGTTCGCTAACCGTGGTTATTTCGGAGAAGAAAAAATAACTTAAGTTAAGGTGTCACACACTCATACTATTTAAGATCAAGAGTGAGTGATGAATGTTTATTAGTCTTAAAACAATACATCTGTGTGTGCTTGTGTTGTTTTTTGTGTCCGATGTCTCCATTAGGATCAATGAAAATGATTCAATCTCCAACTTATAGACAGTGGCATCTGGTTGAAAATTCGGTTTGGTTGGTACTCTGGAAGGGTTGACATTAAGACATGCAAATTTATTTTCAAACCAATTTCGAAAACTAAAAATAAATGCGGGATACGAGAATGCTTACTCTGCACCCAGTTTTCGACAAAATCTATTTTTTTTATCATTAAAAATAAAGCAATATTGCCGAGGCTTGACATTTTTTTGACTATAGTGTGTGTCGTTCCCCACCGTTTGAGAACTAATACGTTTCGTTTGATATTGTATAAAAAAAATATGATCCCATCGTTTTCAATAATTATACTATACTCATCAGTAAAATATTAATTAAACTTGTCGAAGCTTAGTGAATTATTAATAACGATTTTCAAATACTAAATACCCATATATAATGTATATGAATAATATTATATTAATTATTCTTTTTATTTTTTGACTTATAGCATTCAACTCTTATACCTTTAACGACACAGCTCACACTGACTGGATACCTGATGACGTGTTAACAGTGACGTACGAAGATGGTAAATGGAGTAAGCCATACTACGATTGTGGTGGAGGAAATATTTGGATGCTCACGTATACTGTACCATTTTTTGGTTTCAACAATGGGAAGTACTTTTTCAAGTAAGTTAAAAATAAATAAAAAAACACTTTTAAAACTCTGGTCAGATTTCATTAAGTATGTGTCTCTGTTTCAATATTTTGTTTTCATGACTATGTAGGACGTTAGGCCAAACAGTTTTGGAAAAAAAATAACAACGATATGCATTATATATTATCATAATATATTATCATCGCTATTAACTACGATGTAAATGTACTGTGGAACGGTATGAAACAGGTCAGTGTTATAAATAGCTTAACATTAGGTAGTCTAAATATTTTTTAAATTCTGTTGTACATCGAAAAAAATGCTAAGAAATTGTCTACAAGTTTCAATCCCTACGATTAATATTATTTTAATTACAATACCACAAAATAACTAAAATTGTTAGAGAAAAGATCGTATATTTTGTTGGAATCCGCAATATGCTGAAAAAAGTTACTTAAAAAAAAAAAAACCCAAAAGCAAATAAATACTTTGATTATTTGCATTGGTAACTTTTAAAAATAAGAATAAAACAATATTTATAACTATTAATTATTTAACCAAGACATAAATGGAAACTGCACTTGCGTAATAATATATTATTAACTATCTAATACAAATGTATAGCACAGTCCAATTTGTATCAATTTTGCAAAAAAAGCCATTGTTATCGTTTAAAATACTTTTCATTATTGTATTTCAGTTCAAACTTTTTATACAATTTTTTTACTGTAACTTTTGAAAACGAATGTTATTTATTATATCGGAACGTGAAAACGTAATTAGTGAATAAGAAAAATATATATTAAACTAAATCTTGCGTTACATTCCATTCTCAAAGATAATATTTAAAATATTTTTGACGATTTCCAGAAACACATTTCAGAAACATTCACAATTTAATAAAATATACATTACCTACTCGTATTGTAATAATAGTTTATAGAAATATTAAAAATAAAAACCGGAGAATAAATAGAAAAAATATTCTACAGTTCTACAACCGAGTTGTAGGTATGTGAGTGTCCATATGGTGTATAGTGTATATTATACTATAATATATAGCAGCGGTTGCAAACCTTTTCACAAATAATTTTTTAAAAAAACTTTGAGGCTCACTCACCTGATATACAGGTATAAAAACACCGTAATAAGACGATAGATGAAATATATACGTGTATAAAATCATAAAAAAACCTCGATTTGATGCCAGTTAAAATTTGATGACCCTATTGCAAACTTAGACTATCGAACATAATATAATATATACACTCGTATTTCCACAAAAATAAAAATGTGTGGTTTATAAAACTATATATTTTGTAATGCTGACTTTCTGTATATATTTTTAATAAGATATAGAAACTATGTATCTGATTTAAAGTTGTCAGGTAAGCTCAAAGTTGGTCGTAAAAGTTTTAAACATATTTTTATGTTAAATAAAAATCGTAATTAATGTTGCGTTGTGATGAGTGATGAGTGATAATCTTACCGTAGAATAATAACCATTTGTAAAATATTATTACAAGTTACAACATTTTCCAAATACCTATTAAAAAATATTTTGGTCACTTAATGTCTTACAAAATATTAAATACTAATTAGAACATATTTTATGATGCGGTATAAATAATAAAATAATGATACAAAATTTAAATTTTAAATAATTTTGTAACTTTTTTAATTTGTTTTTACATCTTGTAAAAAAAGCATTAAGATTTCAAATTTAAAAGTTTTTTTTTACGAGGTTAATGCATTTATTATAATTTATTAGTCGACTAATTATTATTATATGATATAACAACCTAACTTAAATTTTAAGTTGAGAATATATTTTTGATTAATAAAATAAAATACTAAACTGTTATCATATACGTTTTACCAATCATTCCAGGACCACCTTCACCTTCTCCAAGCCTGGTACAAGGAATGGGGAGTTAAAATGAATGAATCTAAATCAATCCATTGTACTTTTACGCTTCGTCAAGGAGTGTGCCCGACCCTCCTCCTTAACAACCAACCCCTCCCCACTGCCCAATGTGTACGCTACCTTGGAGTCAACATTGACCGTCGACTTACCTGGTCAGCTCACATTAAAAATAAAACTCGAACGTTGAACGATCGTTTTCGTCTTCTCCGGCCACTCCTAACTTCTAAAAATATCAAACTACCTACTAAATTACTGCTGTATAAACTACTACTCAGGCCCAT